AAGTAATTGAAGTGGAATCTGATAATGCTGAAGAAATATCTATGACAATAAAAATAATTTATTGCTAGATATTGAATTGGAAGAATAAAAAGTTGCTTAGTTAGAATACCAAATTAGAATTAGGAAAGAAGCTGCTAAAGCAGAGGCTATTGAATTACAAAGCCAGCAGTTAAAAGCAAGCTTGGATTTCTAATTTAAATATATAGTTTATATTTATTTTAGAAAAACCCATGTTTAATTATCTTTGCATTTAATTTCAATAAAATAATATGCTTATATTCACTTATGACTGTAATTTGAAACTTTGTGCTTTTAATATTAATATGTTTAAAAAACTATATTAATATGGGAGTAGTGTCAAAAAAATCAAAGAGCGAACTTGTAAATTTATAATTTAATGACTGATTGTAATTAAGTAAAAATATAATAGTGTTGAAACTAGGGATGGGTTCGGTCAGCTTGTAGCCAGCTAGCCAACCGACTATAGCTATAGTGATAATAGTCACTATAGCAGCTTAGCTGACTGGCTAGCCGATATGTGATATCAGGCCAATTAAATATCACACTCGGATAATGTGTACCAGGTTAGTACCAGTGAAAAAAAATTGATGTGCGCATGTGCGCTCCGCACATAAAAAATTTTTTTGCGCACAAAAAGAATATAAAATTGTGTGCAAAGTGCACATAACTTATTAGCAATATATTTTAAGTCATGTGCGCTATATAGTTAATAAATTAAAAGCACACATTATATTTAATAACATGTGCAGTATACGAACAATAAATTTAAAATTATGTGCGCAATGTGCACATAATTTCGATTCTGAATTTTTTTCCCTGGTTAGTACGTCATTGTGGCTGATAATCATTGACACTCCGATTCCGATCAAATTTTTTTTTCAATTTTAAAAATACAACTTTAATTGAATACGCATTACTAAGCAAAGAAAAAAAAGCAATTCTAATACATAATATAGTATGAAATGCAGTAAATGATTAATTTATTTTATTTGCTAAGATGTTCTTCGATAATTTATGTGCCTTTTTTGGCACCGTTCTTTTCTTGCGTGCTCTAATTGAATATGGATCGGTGTTTTTCTTTGTTGTACGAGACTTCCTTTGTTGAACTGATGAAGGCTGCACTTTAATCTTTAAACCACTTCGAATCGATTCATTTTTCGATGTAGAGTTTTGTTGAAAGAGATAAGCAGCCAGCTTATCCACTGATATAGATTCAGACTTTTCATATCCTTTTATAAAATGTTCAATTCTACTAAGAAGCTGTTGACTATTTTTAATATCATTTAAAATATGATTAAAAAAGATTTCAATGGATGTTATACGATTATTTATATCATCTTCATGGTTCCTAATAAAAATAACAATAATGTATTAATAAGTTTAATTTTACAAATTTTATAGTCTGTATTTTATTTATTTATTTTTTTTTTTTACGGACCTGTTTTGGGAGCTTTCAATGATTACTTCAGTATTTTGCTTATCTACATTAAGTGTGTTCATATTTTGATGGTTTATTTCATTATTATGACTGAATCCTGATACAATTAGTGCACGCAAAGATGCATAAAATGTTGGATCTTCTGCGATTGTTCCTTTTAAATATTTTAATTTTATTAGTATGTATAGTATATCAATATATATATGTATATAAAAATATAAATAAATTCTAATAAATTTTACCTTATGTGATATATCTATAAGTCATACAATCTTCAAGAGTAAGAGCTACAATATAATTAAAAGAACCTGAATGATATTTAATAGCAACTACCGCTTGATGTTTACAAGGTGATCTACCAAGTGCTATAGAACAAGTGCATATTTAATAGATGAATCAACGATGTAATATTTATTATTAATTGTTGCACTAGGAACAAAATATATATTATTTATATTATCGTATTGAATATTTTCTTGATTAATTTCTTCCCATCCTGGGCAGCAGAACCGTTTTGATATTTCTAAATAACCTGGGTGACGATTTGCTATAGCTAGTATTCGTTGTTCATAAAAATGCTCCATGTTGGTTGTAATGAATTGAAAGATTTGTAATGGATTATATGCCTTAGTACGTGCAAAAACAATGTCTTTTAGAAGTCCAAAACTTCTTTCGACATAGTTGTTGGTATGATTTCCACATAATAATAAGTTTTGTTGATATACTAATGCCCAGGTAGCTCGACGTTTTCAGAGACACAAACAATATGCTGCAAGCTGATCATATTTTGTAAAATATTTAGATTGCAAGTTTGAGAATTCAGTTTCTATTTCATTAACCGTAGGTGCATATAAAACTTTTTTGAATAATGTTATAATTTGTGTACGATCATCTTTATGAATTTTATGTCCTGAATTATACAACCAATGCCAAACTAATTGTAAAATGTGAAAAATACATAATAATCGTATACATGTTGGCCAGCAATGTGCAATAGCATTATGTTCTGCATAAGAATCATCTGTAATAATAATCATAGGCCCAATTTGTGGTCCACGATTGTAAAATGCATTGTCTGGTAATACTATTTTAAGCAAATTTATAGCATTTTCGATAGTAATTTCAGTTTCATCTAAAGTTAAAAAAAACCTAATGGTAATGCGCCAATTGAGCAACTTGTGTAAAGAAGAGTAATTGAGGTGTTAAGTGGATCAAAAGCAGCGGATACATCAAAATAACAAAGCTCTCTGGCTTGACGAATTTTTTCATGAACTCGCTTCATTAAGTTAGTCACAATACATAGAATAAACAGAGTAGATGTAGATGAATTATAAGTTTGAAGTATAGCTTTTCCTTTACCAGAATTGTTATAAAGAGCAACAGCCTCTTGCATATAATCAAACATCCCCTTTCCATTTCGATCCCCCAGTTGTGAAATACGAAACTGATTATAAAGATTTTTTACATAAGTTCCATCAGGATTTATTGACCGATCCGCTAGCAATCGAGCTAGTTCATAATCATTAGATGTAGATAAATGTAATTCATCTTCATATAAATATCATGCAGTTGCTGCTGAATGACCCATATTAAATAACTCAATATAACGTTTTTGAGCATTGAGTCCAACTGGTCGAAAACTCAACGAACTTGCAGAATTGGGCACATGATTATGTATTAACTGAAGGTTTATTTCAAATAGGTAAGTATCCTCAGAACCAAATTTTTTAGGTTTTTTCATTCAATATCTAGCAATAAATTATTTTTATTGTCATAGATATTTCTTCAGCATTATCAGATTCCACTTCAATTACTTCAATTTAATCTTAAAAACTAGTTTTACAACATAATTTTTTATTATTATTGTTAGTGATAGAACTTTTTCTTTTGTACATATTAGAATTTTTAGATTTATATCTTGTTGCTAAATAAAAAACTTATCAAAATAATATTTTAAAAATAATTTAAATATTTTTCTTTTCTATTTGACATATTTTGTTGCTATTTAACTTTACTTTTGTTATTTCTTGTATATTGTATATCTGAATTTTCATGAGTTTGTTTAATTTTTAATAACTTTTCATTATATTATCTTTTACTAAACAAATAAAGTAATAATAATTTTACAATAATTAATATTATATAATTAATAAATTATTATTACTATAAGATAGCTAATAGAAGTTTTAATTGTTTTCTTTCTTTATTTACTAAAGCATAAACTGCTTCTGCTAAATTGGTATTGTTATTATATTTTTTCCAAACACCATGCTCTATTTTAGATATATACATATTTAGTAATAAAATTATCTAAAACATTTTATAAAATTTAACCTATTCTATTTTTTTTTTTTTTTTGGGTTTTAAGATAAGACCTTGCTCATATCTTTATTAGTAATAATTTTTTAATAGTAACAAAATAAATTACTACAGCACAGTTGCTGAAGCTTCTACTTGTAGTCAGGACTAACCATTAAACTACTAAATATAAAAATTTACAAAGCTACTACTATTTGTACCAGTACAAATAAAATAAAAATTACATGCAAGAATAAGAGCTCAAACAGAAAAAAATTTATCTGCGATCTAAACCTACTAGAGTGGTCAAAGACTCACCTAGGTTACTATAGTTAAAATATAATTTAAAGAAATACAATATTTGGCCCAATGATAGGACCAAGTGTTAATTTTTTTTTGGCCTGACCAACTAATGAGCAGGTTTCTGTACGTGAATGAAGTTGATCTGGTGATTCACATAGACAAGAATATGTATGTATTTTTTGTGTATAGTTAATGTTTTTAGAGTTTGAGTCTAAACTAGGATCTTTAAGATCTAAAGTAGTAGTATACTGAATAGCATTAGGTTTACTATAAGGATAAGATAAGTGTTGTTGTTTTTTCTAGTTGGCTAAGTTTGAACAATATGGTTTCTATAACTGTTCGTACAGTTGTTCATTAATCTTAAGCAGTAGATTAATTATAATATTTGATGCTATTTTGTAAGAAGTATTGTAGTTTTG